GCAAGACCCGCACGTAAACCTGTGTACTTCGCGGCAGGCTCTTGCGGCTTCCTCTAGGCTAGAAAGTAGAGGCTGGATGTGCCGCCAATGGGATGATTGGATGGCAAGAGCAGCCCCCGGAGTAGATCCGTTGATGGTGTGCATGACTTGCCAGAGACTCTACACTCTACCGCCTCAAGCTATGCCGGTCCAGGTGTTGTCGGCCACCGAACCACCGCTAATCTCACTTGGTGATCAAATCATCATCGAACGAACCGCCACGAGATCCACAGTTGATCTGGCTTCCGAAAGGTGAGATGCATGGGTGCTGCTCGCCCCTCCCCCGTTGACGCATGCGCGTCTTGAGGAGCATGCAGGCAGGCGGCGTAAGAAGAGCAGGCAGGCGGCGTAAGAAGAGCAGGCAGGCGGCGTAAGAAGAGCAGGCAGGCGGCGTAAGAAGAGCAGGCAGGCGGCGTAAGAAGAGCAGGCAGGCGGCGTAAGAAGAGCATGGCGAGGCGAGAAGGTGGCACCTTGTAGTCACTCTCATAGGTTGGCAGAGTAGGACTGCGAGCCAAGGCCTACCGGTACATGGTATGCCCCATCCAGATTCGTACGTCTGCCGTATCACCGACCTCATCTTGGAGGCCACGGGGGCTGTCAGCTGCAAGCAACAACGGGGGAGGCGACAAGTGGCCAGGGCAAAAGGCGATTGAGCACATGGCAGCTTGGACAAAGAGCTACAGCTCGAGCTTGCGGGCGCTGGGGCCAGTGTGGTAGGTAGCCGTCAGGTGATCGGCCGAGGACTGCGCCAGCGTGTGCTCCATTCGTTCACGGGTTGACAAAGCCAGTGGGAATTGGATTGAACCTCGCCGCATTTGACCTCGCCGCACCGCAAATACACACACACACACACACACACACACACACACACACACACACACACACACACACACACACACACACCTAGCCCATGGACAGTATCCATCACCCAGGGCGTAGAGAAGAAAAGCATTCTTTCTCGAAGATGGACACAGGCCGCACTACAGACGGGGCAATCGGCTGATGCCGTGCTTCCCAATGGATCTGGACGCCGACGGGGGAGTCAACAGAGGCCCCGGGTAGGGTTGACGGACGGACGATATCGTAGTGCCAGCAGATTTTGCTTCTGGCCATGAAAGGCAGAGGGCAAAGAGAGAGGCAGAAACGAGAGAAGGGTGGGGCGGCGGGGTGCATTAGTTCCCTTGTCTCGCCCCGGAGGCTCAACAAGCTCTCCGTCGCACGCTTGTCTGCTGAGCCGTGTTGTGGACTCTGGTCTGGCGTAGTCTAGCTAGTGCGTGGGCAGGGAAGCGGCGTTCTCGACCGCCGAGAGCGGTTGGTTGATGCGTTGGTGGAGGCGGCCTGGTAGTAGAGTACAGTAGTAGAGGAGTAGTAGTAGCATGTGCTCTCGACTAGCCAGTACCTACTCCTAGCAGGGTGCCGGTAGTACTCTACTGCTGCAATCCGCTTGGACAAACTCCCGGGAGAATTCTTGCAGCGCACTTGGACTAGCCCTAGCCTTTAGCTCGTATCGGGCTTGGGTGAGATGGTCAGTCCGTGGTTACCTACGGGGACGCAGGACGCGCTTTGTGAGGCAATTTCGTCCTTACTCTACCTGGCTACCTACCGACTGCTTGCTCAGCATCGGTATGGATGATGGATCGAGGTGTCGCATTCAAGATGCGAAAACCTCTCCGCTCGACTGCATCCGCCCTGTTCACGCGGGGCACGCAGTTGGGGAGTCGGATCTGGGCATGACTGCATGGTAAGCATCTGAATGTTAACCACTGGTCGCCTCACCCAGTTTCAGACTGCTTGTCTGGATTTTCTCCATCGGCGAGAAAGGGACAATGGAAGCGTGTTACTCTAGCCTTGCGAGCACAACAGACATGTGGGTATTCGTGAGTAGCTGTGAGTATCCTC